CTCCTGGAACCACCTCCCCTTCCTCTGCCATTGGCTGCATTAAAGTCGCCACCGGGGCCCATCCGTCAACAGCTTTGTCGGCCAGTGGCGCCTCCTCGAAATGAGGAGAGAGGTGCTTGTGGTAACATAATATGTTACCATAACATAACGCACCCCAATACAAAATGAGTCTACAACATAATAAATGAAGGCTTGCATGACACTACACTTATGTTACTACCCACTATGATGGTAGTAACATAGACTAGTAACATATGCATGTTACTATTCTAAGTTACTATGCACTATGACTAGCCTCATGGGAGTGCAGCGTTGTCCCCTCCTCGAAATCCGCGGCACGCTGGCCAGTGGCGGACCCCACCTGCAGATTCTGCGAACTCTCCACCACTAGCACAGCACCAGCGCTGGGCAGTTTTGGATCCGCCAATGCCGCAACGTCCTGCACCTTATCTGTTCCCTCGGGATCGGTAGTAGGCCCCAAATCAATCATCAGCTGCATGCCTCCATTATTGGCCATGCGATCCCCGGTCGCTCCTTGGTCAATGGACTTTTCAAACGAGCCATCGCTGCGCTCTGCTCCACAATAGGTAAAGCGGCCTCTGGCGTAGTCCTGGCTCCACAGCTCGGACCCGGATCTTCTGTGGCCAGCCTCGCTATATGTGGGGCGCGAAGCACCGGATCTTCTGTGGCCAGCCTCGCTGCATGTGGCGCGCGAATAACAGCTTCCTCAACCTCCCTCTGTGCTGCAGGTGGCACATGCACGGCCGTATCCTCGACCTGCCTCCTTGCTCCCATCGTCACAGCCACGGTGGTGATCATCGGTGCCCGCGCCGACTCCTCCGTGCTACGGGCCATAGGCGGGATCCTCCATTCTGACGGCCCGATGCGACCCGTCAGCGCATGCAGATAGGAACCACCGTGCACTCCGCTTGCCGGCGCCCCACCGCGGTGATCACAAAGTCCCCTTGTCGACAGCAATACTCGCCACACACCCCGACCGGAGAAGTCCTCGGAAACGTCCGGCATCCCGTTTTGGCTGCTCCCATCCGAACTAGGCGGCCGCAACCAACACTGCGGTCCCTCATGATCTCGCATCCGCCCAATGTGAATGAGCGTCTTGTACTCCAGAAGGGCTCGCGACATGGGCCGCCGCGCCGCCGGACCTCCAAACACCTCCGGCTCAGGCACCCAGGTACGTTTGGCCACCAGAACCTCGTCCGGGTCGACGCACCATGCCCGAAGCTTGAAGAGGGACAAGTCCTCTTTATTCTCTGTCTCCAGCGCCAAGCTTTCCACCAGGCACGACGAGCCAAATCCGCCGCCGTCTCGGTCGTCCACGCATGAGATGGGATCCCCTCAATCATAATGTCCACTTGAGTGCGCATTACTCTAGTGACAGCAAGAGCTTGCTTGAGCCACGTTTGACGAACAGCTTGAAGAACCCGTGCTCGACGGTGCCCGCCGTCAAAGCTCTTGCGCAACTCCGGCGCCGCAAAAACAACCAAGAAATCCTCCGGGTGGTACTTGTGGATGGAGAACTGATGGCGGGGTATGTGCAGCTCCTCCGACAAAGCTTCGGCCGCCTCCTGGCATGACACCGCTGGCCGTGTGCCTCCAACATAGGCCACCACCGCCAGCCCCAGGTGTTGCTCGAGATCCTCCATCTCCTGCGTTCGGCGGAGCACACAGATACTCCCGGTAGCGGCAGCGGCAGCCGATGCCTGCCCAGACCCCGCAGGTGCGGTGTCGGCCAGGACTGACGAGGGCCTCTCCAAGGGAGTGGCCTGCCTTGTCGCCGGTGACAGCCTGTTCGCAGGTCCAGCCTGCATCGACGGCTACGACGCCCGCGCTACCTTGGCCACTGCTTCACGCTGGAGATCCTCCTCTGACCTGGGGCTCCTAGGTCGCTTGCAGTCCGTGGAGATGTGCCCCTCCAGGCCACACCGGATGCAGAGCGGTGGGAACTATCAATCCTCCCGTCGATGCCCCTCGCAAAAGCAGTTGAAGCAGAGCCCGAATAGGTCTGCCGGGATCTCCCTCCGCTCCGGCGAAGAGGCCGGGGAACGCGACGAACGCGGCCGAGCCCCACCCGCCGCCGTCTGCTTCCTAAAAGCCTTTCTTTTGCGCCACAGAGCCTTGCGCGACGGCCCAGGTTTGCGCCATGGCGCGACGGTGCCCGCGGCTGGCCCAGGAGAGGCCCCAGCCGGCGCGCCTCCAGCCCCGGTCGACTCTCCCAATCCGATGATGGTGGCGTCGCTCCGCCGGACACCGAGCAGAGACGACAACGACAATGCCACAGATCACATCGCCGAGGATCCCGGTCATGAGGGAGCTGCTGAAGGTGGGTCGTCGGTTGTCGTGCAGTCACTACAGGATATTGAAGAAGACCCGTCCACGCCTTCGCACGATAGTTCGGTATGTGTGTGGCATTTCAAATGAAGATTTTACTATCTCTGTCTTGGTTTATTGGTCCCATTCATACTTTGTGATTTTGACCTTAGATTTAGGACGCCGCTAACTGCCACACGTGTGGGGGTTAAGGGATCTGCCCACATGTTGTATGTGGTGCCTAAGAGGACCAGCCCACATGTTTGTGTGTGGGCAAAACAGCTAGCGCCCACACGCCTTTTTTCCTTCCGGTCCCTCTTATACGCGTGCGTGTGGGCGAAATAGATAACGCTCACACGCCCGGTACGTCAGGCCTCGTACCTCGTGGTCCCGCACGTCCCACGTGACACTTTACTGCGCGCACGCAGTTGTCATGGGCCGGACCCTCGTCTATGTTCGTTTAAGTGCAGTTGCCATGTCGCTGAACTACGGTTGCCATGTCGGACAACTATAATTGCCATGTCTGCTCAACTGCAGTTGCCATCTTAGGTCAAAGTTCCAGATTGCCATTTTTTTGGACAACTACAGCTGTTGCCATGTGTGGTCTGGTCTACTGCAGTTGCCATGATTTCAAAACTTTAGGAGTTGCCACCTACTAACACTAGGCAGTTGCCATGTAGCGCTACAAAAAATGGCATGGCAAAAAAACATGTTCGGGTAAAAGAGAGTTGCCATGTGCTCGCAAGCACGTTAGGGCAGTTGCCATGTAAAAAGAAAGAGTTGCCATATGCTTACGTGCATTCTAGGGCAGTTTGCCATGTACCATGCAAAACATATGGCAACTGACATGTTCGGATAAAAAAAAAGAGTTGCCATCTGCTTGCAATCACACTAGGGCAGTTGCCATGTACACTGCAAAACGCATGACAACTGACAGCTTGGGTCTGGGAGAGGAGGCGGGCGTGTGGGCGAGATGGCAAACGCCCACACACCAGCCCTTGTGCGTGACTGAAAACTGGTGTGTGGGCGAACTGCTAAACGCCCACACACCGGCCCCTCCGTTTGGTAAAACGGATGTGTGGGCGACCTCTCTCACACACCACACACACGCCTTGTCCTACGTGGCACAGAAAATCGACCAGATTGTGCCAAGATTCGTGCATATAGTACTGGACGGTGATGGATGCGTGTTGTCGAGATGGTCAACGCCCACACGTGTGGGCGTTAACATTTCCGTAGATTTAACTACTCCCTCCGTTCCCAAATACTTGTCTTTCTAGGCATTTCAAATGGACTCAACATACGAATGTATGTAGACATATTTTAAAGTGTAGATTCACTCATTTTATGCCGTATGTAGTCACTTGTTGAAATCTCTAGGAGGACAAGTATTTAGAAACGGAGGAAGTACTAAATTGTTAATGCATGTCACCGAAAATAGCATCATTAAAACTATGTATAAATACAGATCCAATGAATATTCTCTGTGACATGCATTCATATTTTGTTAGCCCAATTTATTGTTAAAATTTAAACAAAATACAAAAGAACCAATAAACGAGGACGAAGGCTTACATTTTCAGTTTTTCATGCGCTATTGTGTGATCGTGTCGGCGTGGTTTCTTGTATGGTGGTTTTGTCAGGAGGAGGCTGGCGACATGGAAGATGCTATGTACGAGAAGCTCAAAGACGCGATTATGGAGGCCGGGAGCCTCAGGCACGAGGCGTACGAAGAGACTCGACGGCGGCAGAAGGCCGACCGGGACCTGGCCGACGCGTCCATGATGGTAAGTTTCTGAATACAGCAGATGAGATCGCTTTGCTTCGATCAACGAGTCAGATTGTCGACCATCATCTGATTTTGATTGGGTGCAGGCGAGGGACGCAGAGAGCTCCTACCATGGCGAGGCGAGGCGGCGTAAGGAGATGGAGGAGAGTCTGGCGAGGGAGCGCGCGGCCATGGAGCAGGAAAGGCGGGAACTCGACGCCATTCTCGCGAAGATACGGGAGGTTGATGAGCGCAGCGCCGAGCTCGAGCTCCAGGTCACCGACTCAGGGCACGTGATGAGCGAACTCGATGTCAGGATGTCGGAGTCGTGCTCTGTCCTCGACGCGCTCAGGCTGGAGCGACGAGGAGAAGGGCCTGCAGCTGACGAAGAATCCATGCCTGTGGTGGATGGCAGTAATCAAATCGTGAGTTTCTTGCGGCTTGCTTTGTCGGAGCTGGAGGAGGCGACCGATCGTTTCAACGAGTCTGCCATGGTAGGAGGCGCCGGTGCCGACAGCCGCGGCCGCGTGTACAGAGGGAGCCTCCGCGGCATGACCGTCGCCGTCAAGATGATCTGCCCCGACGTCGCCGTCGACGAGGCGCGGTTCGGTCGTGCAGTGGACGCCATCGCCAGGGCGAGGCACCCAAACATCGTCGCGCTCGTCGGCGCGTGCCCGGAGGCGCGCGCCGTGGTGCACGAGCTCGTGCCGGGCGGGAGCTTGGAGGACCGTCTGGAGAGGAGGCGCCGCCACTGCCGTGGCACGCACGGTGCGGCGTCGCGTACCGAACCTGTTCCGCTCTGGCCTACCTCCACTCGACGGCAACAGTGCATGGCGACGTCCGTCCAGCGAATATCCTCCTGCAGGACGAGCGGTGCTCCTCGAGCAAGCTCGCCGGCCTCGGCATGCCTTGTCTCGTGGCGCCGCCACAGCTCCCCAGCGGCGTCGCGCTGGCGTACGTGGAACCTCGGTACCTGGTGACGGGGGAGCTGACCCCGCAGTGCGACGTGCATGCGCTGGGCGTGGTCCTCCTCCGCCTGGTCACGGGCATGCCGGCGTTCGCGGCGAAGAAGGCGGCGCAGAAGGCCGCCGACGGGAGCACACCCTGGCACGAGGTGGTGGACGCGAGTGCCGGAGGGTGGCCGATGGAGCGCGCCACGGAGGTCGCGCTCCTCGGGCTGAAATGCTGCGACGCGGTCGAAACCAGAGGACCACGTCGCCGGGCCGAGCTTCTGGATGAGGCGCTGAGCGTGCTGGAGGCCGCGACGGATGCCACGCCGGGGAGGACGTGGTCGTCGCTCTCGGCGTCGACGGCGTCCGACAGCGGCGGCGCTCCGTCCTACTTCCTCTGCCCGATACTCAAGGTATGCACATGTGCATTCGATCATATTACATGCGCTCGGCTTTCCGAAATGATGCGAAGTGATGAATAACTGATGTGCCTTCGCAGGAGGTGATGATGGATCCGCAGATCGCCGGCGACGGGTTTACCTACGAGGCGGAGGCGCTGAAGGAGTGGCTCGGGAGCGGACACGACACGTCGCCGATGACCAACCTCAAGCTTCCCACCGATGAGCTGATGCCCAACCACACACTCCGCGCCGCCATACAAGAGTGGCGACACACGAGGCCTAGCACCTTCCATCGGTACCAATAACAGATGAGAAATTCAGATTGTTCCAACCATCGCATTTAGCAGGAAAAACGTTCGTGTGTTTGAAAAGCTTTTTTTAAAAAAAAAAAGAGGATAGACCCCTCGCCTCTGCATCTGGACGGTGTTTGAAAAGCTAGAAATGATCACATGGTTTTGCTTTCAAACGTGTTCTTTGTGTCCTTGTAGAGAGCAATGTACAAAGAAAGGCAATTAACTAATAGAGGATTGCACCATCGATTTTGCGTATATGAGCAATTCTAGCATATTCGACAAAATTTGGATTGCGAAAACTGACAAAAGGACATTGCCAAAAACTATGCAATCTGTCGCATAATCCAGATAACGGGTGCTTACCACTTGGAATAAGTGGGTACCTACCTAAAAACGATCAACAACTCCAAAAAAAAAGACAACTAGTGCTTTAAATTTCAGCCCACTTGTGGGACTCACACGTTTGTGAGACGCCTTTTCCCCCTCTTTTCTTCGTCACATCTCTCAATTGCATCGTAGTGCCGTCGCGTCGTGCAACCCCGTCGCCCGCCATGCCCAACGTCAGGAAGTCGTCGGGGGTTCGTCGTGCGACGCTCCTTCTGCCTTAAGCCACTAAGGTTGCCATGTATGCATGCACGCCTCCGTGCGCCCAGCCCATGGCGTGCCCATGGCCACCGCCCCGGTCGAGGAAGAAGAAGACAGGCCCACGGCAACAAGCACCACCACGACCGCTTATCGGGGGAGGCGTTGCTTGTCATCCATGGTGACGGTGAGCATCACCGACTGCTCCCTGGCGATGTTGCACCACCGCATTGGTATGCACGCACAAACACATCACGCACACAACATACTTAGAGCAACTTTAGCGGTTCCCCGAAAAGTTATGTTTGAGGAGATTTTTTTCTGGTTTGACGGATTAAGGCATATCTAGCAGATCCCCTAAACTAATAATCTCTCAAAAATGTAGGTTTGTATTCCTTCAAAATAATCTTCCCTCGGTTGGCCGAGATCATCTCGACAAACCAAAGCATGTTCATCGTAGACCGTTGTGTCCATGACAACAACTTTCTTGCCCACCGAACGAGACGTCTGCCGAACAATCTTAAATTCCCAGGAGTGCTTCTCAATCTTGACAACGTGCGTGCTTTTGATTTGGTTTCATAGCCATTTCTTCTGGAAACCCTGCAACACTTGGGATTTAGTCGAGGATGGTGTGACTGGGTGTCCATCCTCATCTCCACCGCTTCTACTCGCATCCTTGTCAACAACAGTCTACCCCCTAGTGTCACATGCTTGTGGCATGTGTCAGGGAGACCATCTCTCGCCCATGCTCTTCGCCATCGTCATCGGCACATTTAATTCCTTGTTGGAGCATACTTTGCACACCAATTTCTCTGCCGCCTTACCACTGCACGCAATTACATCTCGCGCTTCACCAATGATGTTATCATTTTGGCCATCCGAATCCGTCCGAGCTGATGATCATTTATGAGCTTTTGGGCGTGTTCGGAGGTGATTCGGGCCTCCGCACAAACTTCATCAAATGTTTAGCCATGCCAATCCAGTGCACCCCGGCAATCTCTCCAATGCCATTGGAGTGCTGCTTAATTTCCCAGCCACCGTCTTCCCCATTCAATACATTGGGTTGCCCCTGGCGATGGCAAGTTTCCTTCCTCTGACACTCATGCCACTTGTTGACAGAATGATCCGTAAGCTGACCACCTAGAAGGCATCCCATCTCTCACGCGGCGAGCGCCTTGTCTTGGTAACCAGGGTCATCCACGACTTTCTGTGGCATGGCCGCAAGGATGCCAGGGCTGGTAACTACCTTGTTAGGGCATCGCCAACACCGACCCATAAATTTCCTCCAGCATCCGTCAGCGCACAAGGGGACCAATCCGCAGACATAGATGCAAGAGGCGGCCATCCAATGCTGACTGCATACATTTCAGCAACTTTTTGAACCAACCGGAAGGCATTCGTGCAAACACATCGGATTTCTTACAAACCAGACGAAAACATTTACATTTTGGACATATTTTAACCAAAACGGTAAAACTAGTCCACGGCGGGTCCCTTTGTATTCCCTATGTTCGGCAACCCTCTCATCAGACTCCCGAGAGCCTCGAAGGTATATTCTTCCCCTTATCTTCCCTATGTCCGGCTGCGCCGCTCATTAGAGTGGCAAAGCGGGTGTTTCGGCCGGAGGGGAAGGGTGCCTACTTGAAGGAAATATGCCCTAGAGGCAATAATAAACTTATTATTTATTTCCTTATTTCATGATAAATGTTTATTATTCATGCTAGAATTGTATTAACCGAAAACATAATACATGTGTGAATACATAGACAAACATAGTGTCACTAGTATGCCTCTACTTGACTAGCTCGTTTATCAAAGATGGTTATGTTTCCTAGCCATGGACAAAAGAGTTGTCATTTGATTAACGGGATCGCATCATTGAGAGAATGATGTGATTGACTTGACCCATTCCGTTAGCTTAGCACTTGATCGTTTAGTATGTTGCTACTGCTTTCTTCATGACTTATACATGTTGCTGTGACTATGAGATTATGCAACTCCCGTTTACCGGAGGAACACTTTGTGTGCTGCCAAACGTCACAACGTAACTGGGTGATTATAAAGGTGCTCTACAGGTGTCTCCGAAGGTACTTGTTGGGTTGGCGTATTTCGATATTAGGATTTGTCACTCCGATTGTCGGAGAGGTATCTCTGGGCCCTCTCGGTAATGCACATCACTATAAGCCTTGCAAACAATGTGTCTAATGAGTTAGTTACGAGATGATGCATTACATAACGAGTAAAGAGACTTGCCGGTAATGAGATTGAAGTAGGTATTGAGATAGCGACGATCGAATCTCGGGCAAATAACATACCGATGACAATGGGAACAACGTATGTTGTTATGCGGTTTGACCGATAAAGATCTTCGTAGAATATGTGGGAGCCAATATGGGCATCCAGGTTCCGCTATTGGTTATTGACCGGAGACGTGTCTCGGTCATGTCTACATTGTTCTCGAACCCGTAGGGTCCGCACGCTTAAAGTTCGATGACGGTTATATTATGAGTTTATGTGTTTTGATGTACCGAAGGAGTTCGAAGTCCTGGATGAGATCGGGGACATGACGAGGAGTCTCAAAATGGTCGAGATGTAAAGATCGATATATTGGACGACTATATTCGGACTTCGGAAAGGTTCCGAGTGATTCGGGTATTTTTCAAAGTACCGGAGAGTTACAGGAATTCGTATTGGGCCTTAATGGGCCATACGGGAAAGGAGAGAAAGGCCCCAAAGGGTGGCGGCACCCCTC